TTGACTTTGATAATGCATATTTGTAATAAACTCAAATTAAAATCTATATTTATGTTACATATAATTATTAATCGATTATATTGTTTTGTCTCTGTTACGTTCCCATATAACTCTGAACCCTCTGAGATAAATAAATAAATATATATAACATATATATATTAACGTCTTTGATCAAATTAGGTTTATTTAAAATTTGAAAACATTTGAAAACATACTTATCTGACCAAAAAATCACATCACTCTGCCAATCTTTGTCATCTAATTCCGCCACAAACCTTCCAAAGTTTTCATTCGTCCACTTATGGCTTTCTCGCATTGACTCTCTGATACGCTGAGTTATGTCTTCAGAGTTCATTTGTGCCATATTATGTTTAGTTACATAGTCGTGAAATTTAAGCGAATGAAGTATGGACTTTATCACGTCGTTGGATTCGGCATCAGAATGGTAAAGAATATCAATTGTGTTGGAATGTGGTTGATAGTTTAGTAAATAATTTTCATTCTTAGGTCATTGGGAATCGTAAAAAATATGAATCAATACGAGTATGGGGAAAACATTAGAATGACAAAATTATTTAAAAGATTACCCCTAATACGTCCAAAGAATCCATTACATCTTCAGTTTTGCGGAACGCATCTGATGCAGGAACTCCTAAATGTATTTTAACACCTATAGGACTCTTCCCCGGTTTGACCCATTCTCCAAAACCAATTTCTCTATCCTTAAGTTCTTCCATAGTTGGAACTTTACCACAATCGATATATTGTCTGCCAATTAATGATAGTTTCGCCTGGTTCAAAATCTCAAATTGTGCCGAGTTCAAAAGTGCTAAAGTAGCGTACATGTTGATGGGTGCAAGGATAGTGAAACAGCCAAACAAAAAGGCCGGATCGTGAGAAATAGTAATCATGCCAATACCGCAAAGCATTCTATTAAATATGAAATGATGATAATAGTTATTTATTTTTGAGCATAATTGAAACAAGTGGTTAAAATAATTAGACGATGCTGACCCAAGCAAGTGCGCCAGAGACATTTGCGCATCATCTTTAGCCACAATATCGCCAACATTTCCAGAAAGCTATGAAACACCAATACGGTAAATTTAATAAAATAACGGTGGAATTTTTATGTGTTCTTCTCTACTTACAGCAAAGTTTCGGATAAACGCCATATGTGTAGCTCCAAATATACTGTATTGAATGCTCTCAAAAGCATTTCCCAAAGACGCTAACGGTAAGAAAAGAGAATTCTTTGCTATGCATGTGCATAGCTGGAGAAAGTATCCTGTGATAGCAAATATTTCACTAATCTTGTGAACAAAAAAAAAAAGTGGATGAATAAATATTATTACTAAGTAATAATGAATCACATATTAATTATTCACCATTTTCCATGATTTAGGGTGTGAATCAAAGGAATATGCGAATCTTTTTATAAAAAATAATTTTCCTATTTCGCCAAATCCGTCTTTAAGAACCCTACGTTATCCTCACAGAATTAATCATAATGACAATTCGATCTTCCAGATAAGATACATGAATATGAGAACTGAACTATATTTATGAACGTTGAAATCTAAAGTGCTAACCATTGAATCGCAACCGCACCAGCCGCAGCTTCTGCGTGACCTAAACCTAAAGAAGAAAGCATTGCCTGACTACATAAAACACCCGTCTTAACACAAGAAAAAATATGATAAAATTAGCATTTGTACATTTTAGAAAAAAGATTGACATATATTAACATATACACAAAGATACCGATGATCCTATAAACGTTTCTAAAGCCAGCCAGATATGGAATTTAGCATAGCACTCATGGACCGTCTCTGGATAGCTAAGATTTCCTTGTCAGTATCAATAATTCACTCAAGAACTTCGATTAAGTGTTAGACTTACCCAACTGGAAGAAACATGGCACTCAAGCTCTGTTTGATACTCCCAACGAAACTGGATACCTTACTTTTTTCTTCTGGAACTCCAGTGCTTGAAGTCGCGGATTGCCATTGCCAATAAAGTGGAGACGAGGACGCAGTAGGTGAAGATTTGGAACTCGTTGGAGAATGGGAAGAACCAGGTGGAAGTGCGGTATAAATACGCGTTCTTCCGTACATTAATTCTTTGAGGATAGGTTTACTATCTATATTTTTCGCATGTTCGCTTGCCGTATAGTTTTTAGACGAAGCTTTTCTTGCGTTGTGGCGGAAAACGAAACTTAAGGGTGACGAAAGACGAAAGACGAAACCCTGACGAAACCCCAAATCCCTCTGACGAAAGACGAATCTTAAAATCGGAAATAAAGAAGGGCGGAATCTGCCGAAACCTTCATGAAAGATAAAACCAGACGAGATTTAAACTCAGCTAGAATTAGTAGAATTTTTCATATATCAAATGTTTTTTTACCTTTCATAGATTTTTTTCACTATATATTATATTTATATATTTTTTTTTCTTTCTTGTTATTGTTTTAGGCGCTTAGTTGTCTCGAAGAATCTGATAATCAAAACTATACACATTTAAAAAATGCATTAACGAAAAGATTAGATTGCGCTACTCCATATCGACCAATGAGGGAACAGGATCAGGTGTAACGCGATCATTAAATAATATAGGGGATCCCCTCCACTTTTGTATTCATACCCCCGCAGACTAAAACTTTGAGCAAAAATATCTCAGCAACTACTAAGTTAAATTCAATAAATGTTTTTTTATTTTAATTCTATAAATTTATAGAATTCAAATAAAAAAAAAAAAAGCTTATCAAATTTGACTTGATGGTTGCTGAGATATCTTTGCTCAATGATTTATCAAAACAGCTGCGTCAAAATTTCTTCAAACTTTGAGCAAAGATATTTCAGCAACTATTAAGTCAAATTTTGAACTTTTTTTTTATTTTAATTCTATGAATCCACAGAATTAAAATAAAAAAAAAGTTTATTCAATTTGACTTGGTGGTTGCTGAGATATCTTTGCTCAGTTTTTAAAAAAATAAAATACAGTCAAACCTCTCTATAGTCACACCTTCGGGGTACAAAAAACCGTGATTGTAAAGAGGTGTGACTAATATAGAGGTATTTTCTATATGGGATCTTTGCTAGGAAAATCACCCTTCGACATTTTCCGATCGGGCTAATTCCTATTTGCATGTAAATTATTTTTGCCTTTATTGATTCAAATGTTCATTCGATAAGCTATTGAATCAATAAGTTTAA